GGGTGGCGGTGGGGGTGCGCGAAGGGAGCTCATAAATAAATAGAGAGGAGGGCTGGGGCTGGGGAAGGTAGTTGGGATGGTGATAGGTGAGTGCAGGTATGGAGTGGTGGGGATTGGTCAGTGAGGTGGGAGAGAAGATGGACAGGTTGTGTCAGGTCAAGGAAACGGGGATGAGAGAGAAGGTTGATCATGGGATTGAGGCTGGGGGTCAGGAGATTTTAAAACTGGTGGTGAATTCTATGTTCAGGCCATCAGGCTGTAGGCTCCCATGGTGGAATATGAGGTGTTGCTCCTCCCAGTTTGCTTGTGGCATCATTGTGGCACTGGAGGCAGCCCAGGATAGATATGTCATCAAGGGAGTGGGAGGGGAGTTTAAAAATGGTTAGCGAATGGAAGGTGTGACCAGGAGGAGCAACATCTCATACTCTGCCTCGGGAGCCTGCAGCCCATCGGGGCTGATGACATATCTATCCTGGGACGCCTCCAGTGCCACAATGATGCCACAAGCAAACTGGAGGAGCAACACCTCATATTCCACCATGGGAGCCTACAGCCCGATGGCCTGAACCTAGAATTCACCACCAGTTTTAAAATCTCCCTACCCATGGCCTCATCCCCGCTCCTTGACCTGACACAACCTGTCCATCTTCTCTCCCACCTATCCACCCCACCCACCTCACTGAACAATCCCAACCACTCCCTACCTGCATCCACCTTCCCCCAGCCCTGCCCATTCTCCTCCTATTTATTTCCCAGCCCCCTTCCCCCTTCCCCCTTCCCAGTTCTGAAAAAGGGTCCCAACCTGAAATGTCAACTAACCTAACTGGCTCATTTAATAGAAATTGCTGGAAAAGCTCAGCAGGTCTGGCAGCGTCTGTGGAGAGAAATCCGAGTTAACCCTTTAGTCGGCAGTTTAATGTAGCAGAACCCCATAGACAGAAGGGTGATCATAACCACATAATCGGGTTTGATGATGTTCCTTGGGAGATGGACATCAGCCACCAAAAGGACTTTTTAAAAAATTCATTTAGGGTTTAGAGGGATATGGGTCATATGCTGGCACTGGGACTAGATTCATTTAGAATATTTAGTCAGCACGGACGAGTTGGACTGAAGGGTATGTTTCTGTGCTCTACAACTCTGATTCTAGAACTCATTCACAGGATGAGGTATCACCGGCTAGGCCAGCATTTGTTGCCCGCCCCTAATTGCCCACAGGGCAATTAAGAGTCAACCACATTGCAGTGGGTCTGGAGTCATATGTCAGCTAGATCAGGTAAGAATGGCAGTTTCCCTCCCTAAAGGACATTGGTGAACCAGATGGGTTTTTCCAACAATTGACAATGGATTCACTGTCATCATTAGACTCTTAATTCCAGAGTGTTCATTTGTATTGAATTCAAATTCCGCCATCTGCCATGGATTTCAACCCGGGTTCCTGGGACATTTACTTGTTCTGAGGAGGGGTTACTGGACCCAAGATGTAAACTCTGATTTCTCTCCGCAGGTCCTGCCAGACCTGCTGAGCTTTTCCAGCTATTTTTACTTTTGTCTCTGATTTACAGCATCTGCAGTTCTTTCAGTTTTTATTTGGCTCATTAATATCCTCTTCTTTTGAGAGCAGAAAACCTGTCATCTTTGCTCAGTCTGATCAACAACTGAGTCCAGTTCTCCATCAAGTAATTTAATTTCTGAAGTTGGCAAGTAAGCAACTTAATGACACCAAAGCACTGTAGAAGTTCACCAAGAAGGCCCACGATAGCAATCTCGGGGAGGGCCCCTTGGTGTGGGCAGTGAGTATTGGCTATGTCTAATCTAATAAATGAATTACAAAAGTATTAGATCAGTATCAAACTGGCAAGCTTGTCTGTTACCTCAGTCATCAGTCTGCTTGTCCAAAGTTGCATCTTGGATAAACCTCAGTTTATCCTATCAACGTCTTGATCTGAACCACTGTTTGCAATCTTGGTGCTTTGTTGTTTCCATCACAAAAATAGCCAAATATTACCCTAAACCTGAACTTACCACAGTATAAAAAGGTGAGGAATAGGAACAAGCTTTTCAGCTGTCTGACCCTGCCCTGCCATTCTATAAGGTTATAACTTCTGTCTCAGGCCTTAACTTCCCTTTCATACCGGTCCTCATTGCATTTCAACAAGCACATAGAGGGCTATCTTCATAATGGTCACTATAGTCTTGATTTAAAACAAATGTTTAGATTAAGAGTTGGGTGGGAAGGTACTACCAGAGTTCCTTAAGGCATGCACCTTTTCTCAAATCTGTACTCAGTGTCTTTTGTGTCTTGTGTTCTACTTGCTATTTATCGTTAGCACTAAATCATCGTTTTGCATCTCCTGGGTTGCTGTACAGTCTCTTGTAAGCAACCTGGATACAACATCAATGAATACACACTTGATTAACTTTCTCTTGGGTTTTCTTTCCTTCCTCCTTGTTCAAACCTCAAAACTAATCGGGGTGATTGAAGGAGGGTGGAGGTGTTGGGGAAAATATGGATTAAACCTGAAACCAGTGACGTTTTTCTATCATGTATTGGAAGAGGAGGAATATAGCAACACAGAACATGGAAATGGGTGATTTGGGTTCAGCCACATTAGAAACTGCATAGTAACAGAAAAAGGTGAAGGAACAGAATGTGATCTTGTAAAATTAGAAATATGTGATAATCTTAACTCATGTTCTGTACTACCAAAAAATTAAATACATACTGTATTGACAAATCTCTACAATTTTCTTCAGGCTAATTTCATATAAACAAACTTCAGCATGATAAAAATAATTTCAAATATGCACCCAACCTACTAAGTAAATAGCGGATGTAATTTGCATTGTTTGCAGTCACTTTGCAGCAGATGTATCCTTGGGTATCTTCGAGATTGTGTCAGATGAAACGTGGGTCTGGATCTACTTCCAGAAGAGCTGAGATAAGATAGAGGCAGTAATGTACCAGAGTGCTTCATGTAAAATAAAGTGTGTAGACCATTTGTACACAGCCATGAGATGAATGATGAAATCTGTTCTTAGCAATGATTGATTTAAGGGATAAATATTCTGAGTCACTGTATACAAATATACAAAAACAGTATATTTGTATATTGTTCAAATACTGTATTGCTGTCAAATCATTTTTTAGCCCATCTGCCCTTTTAGAATAGACACATCAATTTAGCAACTAGTTCAAGATCTTTTCTGAAACACAGCAACCTGAACAATGCAGTATCTTTGCAGTGGGGGTCAGCTTTGGCCGGATAGCTGCTTTATGATGCAGATTGGTGCCAACAGCATAGGCAACAGACTTTACTGGCTGATGGCACTGTGAAGAACATGGTTTTTTTTCCTCAACCTCTACACTCGCCTGAACCATGGTAACCCTTGGGTTAAACCACCACCAGCTATCCCCCTCTAATAAGGGAGCACTATGGTGGTACGACAATGACTTTATCTTTACCTCTTGTAAAATTACACTGTAAGGTGTAAATCACTTATTCCGTGGCTGTTTGTGTTTTTTATATATTTTGGGAATGTTGCTATCACTGGCAAGGCCAGCATTGATTGCTCACTCCTAAATGCCCTTGGTGGTACTGAGCAGCCACCTGACTACTCCTGTCCACGTGATGAAAGTGAGAGGAGTTCCAAGGACTTGATATAAGTCAAATGATAATGTTCAAGGATTTTTGACCCAGTGGTGAAGGAACAGAAATATGTTTAGGGTCAGGCTTGTTTCCTGATTTAAATGTTGACCTTTTATTCAACTCCAGTAATGAGGTATTTCATGCTATAGCCAAAACTTGGTTCAAGTAGATGATGATACTACTTTTAAAGCATTGTTAGCCTTTGTAATTTAAACCAACTTGGAACAGGACTTTCACCCTTTAATACAGATCTTGATTGATCAGTACCAATCTTTTCATTTATTAACTTGTATGCGTAAAAATAATTGAGGTGCTTGGCAAAAGAATCACAGAAGAAGAAAACAATTTTATGCACCAAGTGGTTCGAATTTGGAATACGTGGCCTGATGGTGTAGTTGATTCAGATTCATTATTCCCCTTCAGTTGAATAAATATTTGAAGGGGAGAAAATGCTGGGAAATGGAAGCAACTGGACATTTTTTTTTCTTTTCTACTTGAAGGAGCTAGCATTTGCTCAATGAATGAATGGTCTCCTCCCTGTCTATACAATTTTCTTCCTTCATTCTAAGTAGTCTGTGCTATTGCACTTATGTAGTCAGATCTATTGGCTTCCAGCTCAGTGACTGGTGTGGAGGGCAATATCAGATGGTAATTTTATGCTTCTGTGTTGGCTTGTGCCAGCTAATTATTGCTTAAACATCCTGTCTATGCATGAGCTGCTTGATTTCCTGGAATAAAGAACCAAAGCAAAAACAACACCAAACATCTATTGCTAAATCTGTTTTAGACTATAGGCGTTGCTGCAATGCTGTCGTTCTGGTGGTTGGATAATGTGGGAGCCCATTGTTGGCGGTAGGCTGGTACTGTTGGGTGAGTGTTGGGTCAGTTTGTCAATTTAGTCTGACAGCATCACTGCTCTTGACCAGGTGATTCAAGACCATGAGTTGTTTCATTCCACTTGCCCCTTTTGCAGAATGAAACTGTAATACCTGTGAAGTTGCACTTGGGTAGTCCGTGATGTGCGGCTATTTGGCGAAGGGACATAATTGAAGAAATGACTTCAGACATTATTTGTTTTCCAATTTAGTCGTGAAGTTTTTGTTTTTAATCCTATTTTCTGAAATACTGTTCAAGCTAATGAATAAAGCTTAAGAAAACTTTTGGAAGTAAGGAAGTGATTCGTTAGAAAATGGAGTTTCTGAAGAACTGAGGAGATGTAAGTGTGAGATATTGTTGCCTCCGAGCTGAAGTGAAGAGTGCTCCAGTGTGACAACTTTACATGCGTAATTTACAATTACTGGGAGAAAAAATACTGGAATATATAATGTGTGTGAATTTTTTATTTTTCAGTAGAAATGATGGAAGAATTGCACAGTCTGGATCCACGGCGACAGGAGCTACTGGAAGCCAGGTTCACTGGGATGGGCGTCACCAAGGTGAGAGATTTTGAAGGAATGAAGTGGTGGTAAAATACGGTTTTTGGCTTCCAAGACATACCCAAAGTCTATTGGAAAAATCATAGAATCCCTACAGTCCGGAAAGAGGCCATTTGGCACATTAAGTCGGAGTCTGCACGGACTCTATGAAGAATATTTCTTTCAGACCCTGTCCCCTACCCCATCCCCACATTTCCCATGGCTAACCCATCTAGTCTATACGTCCCTGAACACTATGGGACAACTTAGCATGGCCAGTCCAGCTAACTTACACACCTTTGGGCTGGGGGAGGAAACCAGAGGAAACCACAGGGCAAAAGTGCAAACTCCACACAGATGCTCACCTGAGGTTGGAATTGAATCTGTGGGGCAGCAGTGCTAACTACTAGCAAATAGAATGAAAATAAAGTAGGCACGCAATTCTTAAGATACTGCCTTTTGCTGTTAGGTTACACAGTATTCACTTAACATTCTTTTGTGAGTTGCCAGGGTTGGAGGGTTTGAGCTATAGGGAGAGGCTGAATAGGCTGGGGCTATTTTCCCTAGAGCGTTGGAGACTGAAGGGCATAGATAAGGTGAATAGCCAAGGTCTTTTTCCCAGGGTAGGGGAAGTCCAAAACTAGAGGGCATAGGTTTAAGGTGAAGTGGACAAAATTTAAAAGGGACCTGAGGGGCAATTTCTCAATGAAGAAGGTGTTACCCATATCGAATGTGCTGTCAGAGGAAGTGGGGGAGGCTGGTACAGTAACAACACTAAAAGGCATCTGGATGGATACATGAATAGGAAGGGTTTACAGGGAGATGGGCCAAATGCTAGCAAGTGGAACTAGATTAATTTAGGATATCTGGTCAACGTGGACGACTTAGAGTCTGCTTCCATGCTGTATAGCTGTATGACTCTATAAAATGTAGACAGTTTATGATTCTCTCAATCAGATGGTGTGCTATGCCACAGTAAACAATAGTCCTTTACAAAATTCTAGAATGCTGGCTTGTCTTACGAGTCAGCATTGGGTATTTTATCCATTTGGTCTGGGGAGCTTCCAGATTTGTTCCTTGAACTCTAAGTTAACTGAACTCAGTTGACCTGCTCCATTTGCCCTTGGCGTCTCTGAATTAACATTCTGGGAAGATCAGCCAGATTTATGTTTGTGCTTGCTTTTTAGTAATCCCTGCTACAGGATGAGAGAAGAGATCATTGGAATTAACAATCAACAGCAGCTAGTAACGTGTTTTTTTTTAAAAACATGAAGGGAACAATGTAGATTTATATAGTGCATTTCACAACTTCAAGACATCTGAAAGAAAAACAATACCTTTGCTCTGGCATATACTCACTGTTGTGATATAAGGAAATGTGGCAGCTAATTTGGTAACGAAACAAAAATAGGAGATATGATTAAAGTATTATCTGATCATGTTGACTGGAAGATATTTTCAAAGATATTATGAGAACTTTGTTCTTTGAAGTAGAGCCATGTGTTCTTTTATGCTCACCTTGAGAGGGCTGATGGGACCTCGGTGCTTGTTGCTGCTACTAAAATATATCGGCACCTTTTTAATGTAATGATATGTCCCAACATATTTCACAAATGTAATAAAATATTGTAGCAATGAACTACATGAGGTAGAGATCAGATGATCAGATGGGTGGTTAAAGAAATAGGTTGATGATACGTCGGCAGGAGCATCTTGAAGGAGGAAGGTGAGGTGTAGAGGTACAGGTGTAAAGTCTATAATTTGGCCCTGGGCACCTGAAGATACAGTCTCCAATGACGGAACAATTATAGTTGGGATTGTGCAAGAAGCCAGAATTAGACTAGTGCAAATATCTTGCAGCTGTGAGTCAGGTGGTGACCATGGAGCTGGGGAGGCAAAACCATGGAGTGATTTGAAAAGGAGGATGAAAAGTTTAAAAATCGAGGTTTTTCTTGTTCGTTAGCTAATGTAAATCCGTGATCACAGGTTAATAGAGCAATGAAGTCTCATTTGACTTGAGACATGGCCAGCAGAATTTTGGGTGACATGTATCGCAATAGTCAAGTCTAGAAGTAACAAAAGCATGAATGAGGGTTTCAAGGCAGATGAGCTAAGATGGTTTTGGAGTTGGTTGTGACATTTTGGGATGGAATGACCTGAAGATTACCAGCATATTGGTTTAATATCATTTGACTGTTACCAGGTGGATGGAGTCATTAGTTAGAGCATGGAGCTTGCAGTGGCGACTCGAAACAAAACAAGAAGGCTGCGACCTTTTCCAATAGTTGGAGGAAATTTCAGGTCATCCGATACTAGGTGTTGGATCAGCAATCTGATCATGTAGCAACAATGGAGGCAACAAGAGTTGGTGAGGGATCGCTAGGTGCTGCCAACATGGGAAGACTAGTGTACTTTTTGAATTCTGTCACTGAGGGGTAGCATTTAGATCTTAAATAAGATGACTTTGGATGACACCAGAGAACATGATGCAGGAACAGAAAGAGAAGCCATTCAAATAATACTCTAGCTGTGATTAAATGGATAAAAGTGGAACCAATGTTGCTACTCAACTGGAAGATAGTCACAAGACTAGAAGGGTCAAGAAGGAAAGTTTTTAGCTGTATTGGTTACATAAGCTGTCATTTTTGACTTTGGTGTTTAGATTAACAGCTAATCTAAAAGATGGTGGTGTCATTTGGTGCAGCGCGAAAGGTGTACTGTACTGTCAGTGTCAGCTTGCACTTTGTGCTCAAGTTCCTGGGGTGAGCTTAAATCTATACTGATTCAGCAGTAAGTGGGCTACAACTGAGCCAAGGTATAGCAAATTGTCACAGGATCTTTATAAATTTGACAGTTACCTGGCACTAAACATAACTTCCACTCTAAGTGGAGATTTGCAGGTGAGTTAGATATGGTCTAATCATGGAAAAGAGGCCAACCTACATACTCTATCTTTGCCCTTCAACATCTTTTATATGCCTTTATCAAGTCCCCTCTTCATCTTTGCTCCACCAAGGAAAACAATCTCTGCCTATCTCATCCATCCATCTTAGCTCAGACCCTGCAGCCCCCGGCAGCATCCTAGTAAATCTCTGCACTTGCTCTCAAATCACATCCTTCCTGTAATGTAATCAGAACTGCGCACAATACTCCAGTTGTGGCTGAACCAGTGTTTTGTACAGTTAGTATTTTGTACAGTTCCAGTATAACCTTGCTCTTGGCTAATCTGCCTCTGAACTTCTGTACTTTCTGGGGTCCTATCATTCATAGGCAGGGCTGCCTAGGTAAAAGAATTGCACTAAGTGTATTACCTCTCAATTTTTCAGTTTGAATTTCATTTGCAACTGCTGTATTCACCTTACCAGTCCATTGATATGATCCTAAAATTTACAGCTGTCCTCACTGTTTACATCCTACCAATTTTCGTGCAGTCCACAAACTTCTTGATCATACCCCCTACATTTCAAATCCAAATCATTTAACATGCACCACAGACAGGGAGGGCCCAGCACCGAGCCCTGTGGAACCCAGTGGAAACAGACCACCCGTCACATAAACATCCCTTTACCATCACTGTCTTCTGTCACTCACCTACTATAGCACTTGCTTTCTTGACTAGCCTGCCATGAGAGAACTGTATCAAAAGCCTTGCTAAACTTAATGCAAATCAAATCAAATTTGATTCTCTGCATTAACACTGTCTCTGGGTTGCAATCTCAAAATTTGATCAAATTTGTCAAATATAACTTACCGTTAACAACTCCGTGCTGACTATTTCTGATTAATCCGTGCCCTTCCAAGAGCAGAGATATTCTGTCACTCAGAATTATTTCTAATAACTACCCCAATCACTGAGATTAGATTGACAGGACTGTAATTTCCTGCTGTATCCCTACGTCAATATTTTAATAATGGGCCAGTGTCAGCAGTGCTCTGGTACCTTACTATGAAAGAATAAAGACGACAAATGGACCATAAGGAGAAAGAGGGGTTTAGAGGGAAAATTAGAGAGGAGTGGCATGATGGTTGAGCCAATCACCAGTGGCCAGATTTCACTGCAGGTTTGGCCATTAATGGTGGTTCTCTTTGCATAATATACTGTCTCTAATTATAGATATCAGAACTACAGTATTGTCATGGTGAAAAATTAAAATATTTTTGATTATTGTTGAGCCCTTAGTTGGATGTACTCCCTTCAAAATTCATGGAAAGAGTTTACAAGATGTCATGCCTCTTTTTGAAATTGTCTGAAAGCATTGTGAATTCAGGATTATGAATAACAATTTTTTCATCCGGTTTGCTGTTTTACTCTGACCCACCTAGCTGTTTCAAGCTTCTCACTACATGGCTCAAGTCTAAAAATAAGCCAGGCTATAGTCCACGTTCTCCCTTGCTGTTTGCTTTCAAGGTTCAAGGGCAGAGCTGTAGATCAAGGGGAGCATCTTGTTTGTAAAATGGTTATGAATATGCCATGTAATGGAATCTTTTATAGCTGCAGTCAATTAGGAACAGTAGGCCATTCAAGCCTTCCAATCTGTCCCAAAGAGATCATGGCTGATCTAGCTCCATATACCCTCCTTTGGTCCATATCCCTTTTAATTTATTTTGCTTAACAAAAAAATTATCTATCACAGATTTAAAATTAGCAACTAATCCAGCATCTACTGCCATTGATGGAAGTGTATTCCAAATCTCTACCACTGTTTTGTATAAAAGTGCTTCCTAACGTTCTCCTGAATGGCCTGCCCCCTAGTTCTAAAATCCCCAACCAGTGGAAATACTTTATCTACTCAATTCTCCTGTTAATATGTTGAAGACTTTGATAAGATCGTCCCTTAACCTTCTAATTTTGAGAGAAAACGGGCCTAATTTATATAGTCTCCTCATAATTTAACCCCTGAAGTCCAGGTATCATTCTTGTAAAGCTACATTGTACTCCCTGCAAGGCTGAAGGCTCTTGCTCATCAAATACTGAAACTGTTGAGTTTCATTGATTTAACTTTTATTTCCTTTCCAGAAGT